TGCGATCCTGTTACCGGTCACGAAAAAAGACAAAAAGGGGAAAAAAAAATGTTTTTGTTTTGCTTGTTTTGTGTTCTGGTTTTCTTTTTTCTCTGAAATATAAATACCAGGAGTCTGTCCTGGATCAGATAAAGACTACCTGAGTTACACTGCCATTTGATTTTTTGGCATTTCTGCCATTCACGTGTGTGCCCACACGGCTCATTTGATGCCTGGCTGTTTTACTTTCACCCCACATGCTCTCAGAGCTGTACTTGGCAGAGGGAGTCACGGAGCTTCGACTGCAGGGCTCACAGGACTGGAGTTTCCTCAGCCCTGTGCCCACAGGTAGACAGTTCTGTTACAGCTGCACTGGGTGTTGGCTGGAGTCAGCATTGGCTTTGCAGGATGTACTTTGAACTGAGAAGCCAAAGATTGACATTGGAAGTATAATAAGAATGTTGAGACAAAGAGAAACATTTAGAAGAGCATTCAGAAGGGCTTGAAGTAGAGTGAATAATTTGGCTTTTAAGAGAGGCTCTTAATTTATAATGAAGACTTTTCTGTGTCAAGCTTTTTTAACCTTGTGGCCTCTGTAACTCTGAGGTATGTAGAGGGTGAACTGAAACTTTTCCTTAGAGGGTGAATATGAATAGTAATAGCTTTTGAAATAAAAAGTAAATAGGACTTCCTTAGAGGGTGAATATGGATAGTAAATAGCTTTCGAAATAAAAAGGACTTCTTGCCTCTTTGGGAACATAGAGAGGAAAAAATGGGGAGGAGAGCAGATCTCTGAGGACTCCAGCTGGCGATGCATATTCTGTTTCAGAAACTGACAACTCGTGCAAGGTGTGCTGCAGGGACCCCTTGGGCCGCTGTGTGCCCTATGTCGACGCTGAACAGAAGAACTTATTTTTGAGGAAAGGCAAGCCCTGTACAGTAGGATTTTGTGACATGAGTGTGAGTATTTATGTACAGCCTTTTTGGTGACAGCTAGACTGTAAGTCTTATATTTAAGTACTTGGTTGTGCAAATGGGGAAATCAGAACACAAATGCTGTTCCATCTTTCTCACCCACTGTTTGTTTTGGTTTGAGTTTTTAGTGAAGTATGGTAGGTATTACTTAAGAGGAAATGGCTTTCAGGTCAGTGGAGCTCATACTCACCATAGCAGGAGACCCTGAGCCCAGTGGGAAACTGGGAAGGATCTGGGAGGAGGGGACTTCATGGTAAAGTTGGTTGGTTTCAGGCCATGGGTCTTAATTATGTTTTTTAAGGCTATTTATAGAATTGACTAAGATTGCAAAATTCTTCAGGTGTGATTTTGAAACAGGTGCTGAATGAGTAGGAAAAACCTAGAAGACTGCGTGACTTACCTAAGTCAGACCCCTCCGTTCTCTCCAGAACTTCACGTAAAATCATGGGACAGGGTTTCTAGGTTTAAAGAGGCTTCTCAGGGAGCTTGGTTGTGTTCTTTTCTGTCCACTCAGTGTGTCTGACCAGTATAGTCCTTACTGGAATACCTCATCTTTGGCA